TTCACTGTCACAAGGAGAAAGCTCTAATATCTTGTTAAATCATTTCAGCGTGATCAGTGTGAAGGAACATCTCTGTCACTGAACGTCTGATTGTTCCTTCTTATAAAATCTGTGATGGCAGAGATTTCTTTTATTTCCATTTGCATGCTATTTGATTAATAAGATTCATTACCCTACTCAGAAGCTAATTACATTTTTTGTGAATAGAATGAAAAACGTTTAATTATAAAGCAGAACTGCGAGTAAATGAGAGAATATTGTTTCTGATCACACAACGCTGGGATAAAAACATCACCAGTTCTGTGGGACTCGTGGTTGTGAATGGGAAACGTCAGGCTGTGATGTGTCATGTTAAATTATTCTAAGTTCAAAACACTGATTGGTCAGAAAATGAATTGAAAAGCTCCCCATGGTGTTCAACATCCCGTTAGAACAAAAGACTTTTATTCCAATCTGAAATCAGCAGCGTTTTGCTGTAAAATACAACATTCCTCACATAATTGACTATTTATTAATAGATTGTAACTAATACTTTTATTAATTCTTCATTAATTATTTATACTTTGTAAATCAAATGTAAACCATTAACAATAAACACCTCTAAATTACAAATAATTCTTTTATTTAAATGCTGACAGAGTAGAAGCATAGTATTTTATTCCAAAATAAACTTGGCATTTTGGGGGAAAATGTTTATGTTGTGATTAGTAAGTTGCAAGAGAACTGTCTTTTTTAGTAAAAGCTGAATGCTTAATATTTTAATGTTTTTTTAAGTCACTAAAATCCAGTCTAACCATTGATGGCATATTTTGATGCTAATACTCATGAACCTAAGTAACATTTTGTAGAACTTTTACTTGTAACAGAGTATTTTTATGTTAAGTAAATAATCTGAATATTTCTTTGTATAGCGAGTCAGTAGTGGTATGGTATGCAAGTCAGTGTGGCTCTGCATGTTTCAAAGTAAAGAGAACATCACAGAACATTGTGAAAATTACATCATTTGTTCAAACATTTTATTGTAGTGTTTTTTGAAATGCTGCTTTATTTTTAAATGCATCACATTATGGTCGAACAGCAGTTAATCCTCTGATTTCATTTTTTTAAATTTCCAAGCTTTCCTTTACAATTTAGGCATGTGAGGTGCAATTTATAATGTGAAATGGTAACCGCATTATGGCACAAATCCCTTTAAATAACAGAGAAAATGATTCATGAGAAACACCGCAGCTGAATTTTGAAAAGCAAAAATGCCACTTGTGGTACGGCTGAGAAAAAAAATAAAGATGGAAACATTTGTGACAGGTTGAAGAAAGACAAACATGATGAGTAGGAGAAGAGACGTGACAAGTGTCCAGTCAAGACGACAGTGACGTTTCATAATGGAGGATTGTGTTTCTATGGACTGCCAGAAATCCTTTATCTCTGTTACCTCAGGATAACGCACGGCAGTTCAGCTCACGAGCTGGAGGATGCTGCTCACGTCTGTAGAAGTGGATTCATTTTGAACGTGACAGTCAGTCATCTTAATGTGTTCTTCCATTTGACAGGTTGCATGGTAATCACTTTCACGGAGTCATGTTTGTGTGAGCACACCATATCTTGTATTCTAACAGCGAGCCTTTAATTATATATATATATATACCTGCACATGCTCCACTATATGACAGCAATCATAACGTTCCCTCTTTCTTCTGACAGACCTGGTGAGATATTGCATCCAGTTACGCTGGATAATATTCCATGCCACAGGACTTTTCCTGCCCCATTAAGGTGGAATATCAACACTCATTAATATTCAACACAAGACCGCATATAAGAGCTTAGTTTCCCCAAAAAGATCTACAAAGAAAAAGCCAAGGGAGTAAGCACTGCTTCTCTGCCAGCATCCCCCTCGTGGGTAATTGGTCCCATAACACACACCTAAGCTCCACTGTAAGGAAAACTGATGTAAACCAGTTAAGCAATTGAAATTGCATTCAATCTTCAATATATCCTTGCATCACATTGACAGCTGCGCAACTCCAGGGATAGTGCTCAGTGAGACAACACTGAAAGCTAGAAATAGATAAATTGTGAGCCACAGTGTCAACATGAAGCAGACACTGGCCAGGAAACAGCGTGTGCTTGGCAGCCTGTAAGCATATGCTTGAAGTGAAATATGATGGTTTCACTTCAAGAGTAATTGCTTAACAAACTGAACCCAGTCATTAATATTCAATATACAGTAACATATACATCATGTAAAAGTGTGTGGTGTTTTATCCAGCTGACTGAATGCGCAGAAACAGACTGACTGTAGAGTGTGTGGGGGGGTCTAGACTGAGGATCAGAGGCTTTTCAGTGCTCAGTGATGGAGAAAGGCTCTGTGGTTGTCAGGGTGTTCCCACTGATGAAGGAAAGCTGTGATTGACAGATGAGTCTTAGTGAAGAACCATGGCTGCTTGTGCATAAGCTGTGCATAGTTCACATGACTCTGCAGCTCCTACGGCGTATCTAGAATTGAGAATTTTAAACATGTTTCTGTGTTTGGGTTGCAGCCAGGGTGGGTGTGTATTTTAAACATGGTTATCATTTTCCTGTGTATGACATAGGATCCTCAAAATAGCTTCATTTTGCTTTGACATAGAGCAATTGTGGTGGTTGTGGTGGCACTAGAGAATCCTCAGATCCTTCCTTCTCTTCAAGAACTCACCCATTAAATCCTTTGCATTCTTCCTCCAGCTTGCTGCATAGTCTTATCAAAATACAATACCTCCCACCACAAGTTACTTCTCTCTAACCCCTGCTAGGCCTGGGATCAGCTCCAAGAGTTGGAATATAGAGCAAAATGTCATTAGGTGGCATAAACATACAAGAAATCAATGGAGCAATTTATACACTGCAGCTCTCAGTTTTCTCCAGTTCAGTGCTCATGAGTATCAGGGTGGTCGAACCTTCTTGTTGTTTCCAGGTGAGCTCTCCAGCCAGCCCACAACTCTCTAGTTACTGAGGGGATCAATGACCGCAGCCTACCCAGACTTCTTCAACCTTATCCTTCTATAAAAACAAAACAAGACAAAAAAAACATACATATGGTAGTAGGTTAATTTTGCATGTATGTATTTCATATTGCAATATTAGAACAAAGAGGTTACAAAAGAAGGAATATTTTGAAGCATTAACTTCTTTTTGACAGCACAATAAAAAAGATGATGCAAAAGCCTTAAATCCCCTCAGAATAACAGGCGATAGCAACCAGTCTTTCTTTTTTAAAATAGGGCCTTTGCCTGTTTTGAAAGGGTAATTTTAATGACTGTGAGGAAACTGCTGGATAAATGAGACAGACAGAGGAGTTCTTGCCTGCAGAATGGTTCTGCTTTACTCTCTCCCTTCACAGACAGAGAGGTACACTACACCTCTCTATCCCCTTAATGACATGCATATTTGACTTGTTCTCCTTTAATTATGTGACCTACCCTGTCTAAAGTCTTTTCTTGTGGAAAAGAATGGCCAATTTCCGCCCTGGCTGGTTGTCATTAAACAAGACCACCTTAGAGAGGGGAAATATTCTCTCACTGCAAGGAAATATTTGGCCCTTAACAGAAGTAAATGTATTCTTTAAACATACTTCACAAAATATCTGGTTTGATAGATGTTATTTGTGACTTGGATCAGAAACAATGAAATGAAAATCAGCCACATACTGTACAGTCAATCTGGATTATGTGCTGCTCAAGACAGAAAAAGCTACATTTGTTGGTTTCCCATTGTTAATTAAAAAGTAAACATGGATAATTCATATTTATGGTGGTGAACGCGCTCTACAGCAAGCCATGCACAAGATCTGTGATGACACACTAACGTTAATGTAAGCCATACAGTCGCCACCACGAGATACGATGTGACATTTGTAATTTGGACCTCAGCATCAAAGGAGGAGGAGGACACGCTGACTCGTCCTCGGGCTGAGGCAGGCCACGATGATGTGGAAACTGGTCAGTAACCAAGTGTCAGGCTAAAGTGTAATACGGCCCCGAGCGCGTCACAGCATTGAGGCATGAGATGCGCTGCGAGTAATCCCACAACTTGATGATGTGTGGTTGGCCTGATGTGAATAAAACGCCTCTTTTTCTCACTAAGCATCGCTCTTTCCTCCATAGCACATGCCCGTTCTTTCAAGTGGAATGAATCATTCATGCCTGTGGTCCACGAAGCCTCACAGCCCACTCACATCCTCACAACGGCGGGTCCACATCCAGCCTCTTTATCAACACCAATGTTATACATTTATATTGAATAATAATTACTAAATTTGTGTGGTGGACTTCTAAACTTGTGTTCCTCCGCCTGCAGCCTGTATTTCCTGCCGCCTCTGTCTGTGTCTCTGTCAGTCAGTCAGTTCTCTTCCGTATCGCTCTGGGAGGCGAACCTTTCAGCATTTCCAGTGATGTGCCTCGGAAATCTGTTTCCAGGGCAACCGGGTACCAAATAGTCTCCCAGAGGCTTCTCACTGGTGCGTCCTTTGTTTACACTTTTCATATATCTGTGAGGATGCAGGTTGCTCTAAACAAACAAGAATTGTCAAGTATGGGAACAAAAAGCCTTTGCGTAAAAATACACCAAATGATGATGTCAGAACAAGCCAAGAAATCAATCTGTCTGTTTTCTTCTAATTTCAGCTAATCTGCTAATGTCATACTTGATCTCCAGGATATGGATCAAAATTAGACTCCCCCCATTATCATTATAACTAAATGTCGTTAATTACATTAATAGAAATATCAATGGAATATTTTCGAAAGCCAGTTGATCCTGAATCACAGCCACGCGCACTGGGAGGTTCCCAGTCAAGATGATCTCCTGAGCCAAGCGCACGAATATGTAAAACAAACACTTTCCGTTATGTAACAGGCTTTGAAGACAATGGTTTATTGTGTTTGTGTTGATTACCTCTCGCGTTTATTGGACATATTAAAAACCAACTCACGTTCACCGCTTTTAAGCTGTGCGCTTGCGCGTAACGGAACCGGGAGCTGTCCGAGTGCTGAAATGAGAAAGGGCGTTCCACTTCCATTCCTCAATAGAGGAAGGCACTTCATCTGCAAAAGATTTCTCTTCATAAGTAACAACTCAGGCCGACGGGTTGGTCTTCAAAGAGCGAGCTTCTAGATCTGAGCCAGCGCCAAAGCAGAAAGCTTCCATCCGATGCGTTTTGGAGTGAGTCTTCTCGACGACGTCTGACCACACGGGCTGATGTTTCTTCACACCTTCGCTTCGAGAAATTTGTTTTTGGGAGTCAGAGTTTTCATGAAAACTAAACTATGATCTGTGGCTGCGTTGAGGAATGTCTGTATTTTTGTTTAACACAACAATACCAAAACGCCCACGACTTGGTCAGGAAGAAAGCGGCATCCCTGTTTGGATTATGTGTTTGACCAATGTAAACATATGGAAGAAATAGAAAAGTGAGCACATGGGGAAACCACCAGGAATGAGTTACTCCTTTATTAAGGTTCTGGTAGCTTTATGTACATATTTCACGGAGACAAGCAACTTTAGGTAAGGCAACTTATTTACCAAACATATTTCATTTCATAGATTTAAAAGGAATTGTTTCTCCCTTCTGAAGTTTGGAAAATTCCCTTACGTATTTGATGGCCTAATTAAAGTAATAATACACAATGTGCGTAGACTTTTTATGCAAGACAAAGTTAGTAGCTGCTTCGGTGTTGCTGTGATTGGGACTGGTTGAAGTTACTTTTTTATTTTCAACTGTGTGAATTATTTTTATGGATATTATTACGTCCCCAAATGTTCTTAGTGATATTTATTGTGGTGTTATGAAACGCAGCATGCTGTGTAATCTTGCATAATATTAAAGGAGATGCTCAAGACGTGGAAATCACATACGATTAATCGGATGCGTGTGTGCATTTTAAGGCATTTCTAGTTTCTGTGTGCGTACCCATCATTCCCTGGCAGCTGCTAGGCGACAGATAAGGCTTTACGCCTGGTTTTGAGCTCTGACTTCTGCCTGGTCCAATGATTTTTCTCACTTCGTGTGTGTTCCAGAGTTGTGGACGCCAAGGAGCACGATTCCAGATCATCCTCCTCCAACATGTCCCCATCAGATTTTCTGGACTCACTCATGGGTCGCACGTCCGGGTATGATGCACGAATAAGACCAAATTTTAAAGGTTTGTTTGAAATCTTTTTTGCCTTTTGGAAATCTTCACATACTTTACACTGAGCCTTGCCTTTTCTTCCAGATCTACAGAATCACCACATTTTGTCAACATCTAATGACAGAGTATTTTTGCATGTAGAATACATCTACCCCCTTTATGGGGTAACTGTAAGCCCAGCAGACTTTGACGTTATTACTTATCTGGAGATCCACCGACCATTTTCTGTTGCCATGATACTGTGCTGCTAGACCTTTAATAAAAACAATCAGTCACTTCAGCTGACAATAACATTGTCCTGGCTTGAATTAAATCATGAACTAACCCATCATTACAACATTGCACGTTTGTTTTCATTTGGTAAAATTATGCCCAAGAGAATCCAATCGCCATTAAATAATAATTGAGAAACAGAGAAAACTGGGGTGAGCAGCCTTTTAAATAATACTGTCAGTCTCAGATTGATACTGGTAGCAGGCGGGGATGCCATCATGACAGGTCAAATGATGGATGGTGCCCCCATAGGAAGGCAGTAAACTACTGACTTCCTCTTTACTGCTGCTGCTGTGATACTGGGGACAGACAGAGTATCTGTCCCTGGAATGGAGTTAAGTGAGCAGAGGCTAACCTATTGCGACTCAGGGCCACTGGGCTAGGTGGGCCGGGATTTGATGGGGGGGTGGGGGGATTCCAATAATTGAAGTGGTCATACAGTACAGTGATTGATCAGCAGGATTCAGAAACCTATGGCCCTCCCCCAACATGGACCCGAGATGAGAGAACTGGCTGACATTTTCACAGGAGGCATGAAGTATAAACTACTGTTTCTAGCTAATACAGAGAGGATGAGCACACGTAGATTAAAAGGCATAAAGGTTTATTTGAATGCTACTGTTGAAAATTATATCCTTTCTGTATGGTAGGATTCATAAAGCTTCTTGTCATATATACAACTACAAAACATTTGCATGAAGCCACCAGATAATTTCTGCTAGTCATCCTTTAAAGAGTGTTGAAGTGAAGTGTGATATAGATTTTAATGCTGAGTTTGTTGAAGGAGGTACTGCTTTATTTTTCTTCCTCTGCTGTTACATGCAGCCACCCAATGACAAACAAGGCAAATATTAATACCACACGCCATGCAGCATTCATGAGGAAAGCACAGGGGAAGGAGACTTATCAAATAGAGACTTGCTATGACTTTAAATGGCATAACCTACTAGGACTTGCAAAGTGGTTCCAGTTTGCCCCAGACATGAGTAAAAGTGACACTGCTCATTAGAACATGCAGCTCATTATTGATTCATCTGTAGATTACTTCCTCAAAAATGTCATAGTTGTCCATCACACTTTCCAAAAGCCCTTTTAGACATACAATGTGTGTTTTTTCCTAACCAGCAGCCCAGAATCCACATTCATTCATTCATTCTTATTTGAAAAGTTGGAATTAAGTTTTTTTTTTTGGGGGGGGGGGGGGGGTGAAGTCGTAGCTGTCCTTTTTTTCTGCAATAAATATTATGTTCATGTTAAAAATAACTCTGCCACTGCCTACCTCTCAATATCAGGTTCTTTAAGCAAGAAAATTCTTTCTCCAGGTAGTGAGAGAGAAATGAAACCAGATTACAAAGAATTTTCTAGTAGCTACTTTGCTGTTTGATCAATCAAAATTTAACATGGCATCACTTCATGTGACCTATTCCAAGTAATTCCCATTCTTGCATGGTATTTTTCCAATCATACAGTAGTTTAGGAACCATAGCTACACATGGCACAGACAAAACACAGCAGCAGAAGTCTAAGGAATAGAATATTATTATTAGAAAGGCCCTCATTTAGGACATCATCATCACATGAGCATGCACACTGCAGAAACTCAAACTGTGATTCAACATTACCACTACCTCTATTTGCGTCCTTTGTCAGTTAAGTAATGGATTATTAGGTTAATTGTTGCATCTTCAAATTACTCTGTGTGTGCATGCAGTTGTCAAGATGTGCATGGATTTTCAGTTGACCAGATGTATAAACTATGTGCACATGTACAGTTTGTTTTCCACAGAAATCACAGCATCATTAGAAAATCATAATATCAACCTGGCACAGTCATTATTGATTCATTTGTACAGTATTTAGTTTGGATATGATTGCATTTTAACAATACTGAGCAGAATTTAGAAAATGCTCTTTTAATGTCTAAAGTCAGACATGGCCCTTTTGCTTCTGGTATGTGATATGTGTCACCATTCTGAAGTTCTTATAAAATAATAATAAAAAGAGAGAACTAATGCTTGGATTTAATGCATGTTGGCATACACAGTCAAACAGCATCTTGTAAACCAGCAGACCCAGATTTCCTGATGAAACCTCTTCACTGCTCCAAACCCAGCTGTGTTTGATGATAATGGTTTAAGGCTTTTTCCTGTCATGTCACTGTCATTCCATTTCACAGGTCCCCCTGTAAACGTTACATGCAATATTTTTATCAACAGTTTCGGCTCTGTCACAGAGACAACGATGGTGAGTGCCTCTGGCATTTTGGTTGATTTCTGTCCTCTACAATGTGTCAATGTTTTATTTATTCCTCAATCTGCAGGTCCACCAGTTAATGTTACCTGCAACATATTTATCAACAGCTTTGGTTCTATAGCAGAAACCACCATGGTGAGTTGAGTATTCTGCTTGGACTTCTAAAGCCCTGATCCTTGCTCTGGAGTTAAGACTGAATCATCCTGTTTTTACCAAACCTACCCAAACTTCAACTCTTTTTATTTTATTTTATTTTTTTATTTTGCCATGAAGGAGTCTATTGGCGGGTCCGTCTGACTATCCAAATAAGTATTAGTGCATGCTTCCATCTAGACATGATAATCCAGGTTGAATCATTCATAATAACTAATAAGTCATTTTAAGTGCAGCTAGTAACTATGGGTGGAGCCTCATCTTTGCAAGATGATTTGAAATCTGTGATGTGTAGAAGCATCCAATTACCAGAGAGGTAAAAATATAAAACCTGTGAGGCTGCACTGAAACTCATCATAATCAAAGGGTTTATAATGGGTGATAATAAGTATTTAAATTGTGAATGGAGGATGTTAATTTGCACAGGAGCTGGAGTTCATGAGATTGGACTGACGCAGCTTTGGACACACATGCAAAATGAGGAACCGCCAATATACTGATGAAATGTCAAACAGCATAAGAGCTTCTTAGCGTCATGACAGTTACCATAAGAAACTGAGCTTTGTGGCACTCAGTTTACTTCTAACTGCACCGTCAATTTTCCTCATCATCTACTACATCATATAAATAAATGCATCGTTTAGCCTCTATAACAGGCTTTACTTATGCACGATTAACAAGAAAAGTTATTATAAGGTCAGTGTTTTGTAAATGCAACATTATCAATAGATAATCACCAAATTGGCCATTTGAACGCATTGATGAACATTCTGAGATGATAGTATTGCTGGATGATAAAGATTTTGTCAGATGTGCACTGATTATTTTTATTTCTTTTTGCTCATCCTCTACTTTATTATTTGTCATACATTCTTATTGATGTTACATGTTTTAAAAAATGTTTTGTGTTATCAGTTGTAATTGAATAAATGTGATGAGAGAAAATCAGTGGTGGGAAAAATATTTCAATGTTTTACCTTTGGTAAAAGTTCCAAAGTGTTAATTAAACATTAAAGATACACCAGTCAGCCATACACATTATAACTACCTGCCTAATACTGTGCACACAGGCGTCAGTGCAGCAGTTGGTCGACACTCGTGGCCCTCTGCAGCTCACTGTGCATCTTCTGTGAATCTGTGCTTCCATAGTTTTACTGTCAGGAAGAGCACGAATATGTCGACCATTCAGTGAAAAACTTATGTAAAAGGAGTGAAAACTGTGGTCGTGAGGATGAGTTAGGGATAATTTTAACATTCAGCAGCCTCCCCACTCCAGGTGTATAGCTGCTGAATGTTTCTCTTATAGAGACCAATGTACAGTACTTCTCATTTTCACCCACTTTAACAAAGATTCAAACAAAATGGAATCTTTTGAAAAGGATGAATGAAATTTAAAACTTTAATCTAGTGTAGATCAACCTCATCATCAGTGAGCCTTGGGCGTCCATGACCCTGTCACAGGTTCACTGTCTGTCCTTCCTTAGACACTGTTGGTTGGTACTAACCACTGCAGACTGGGAGATGCTCTGACCCAGTCTTCATCCATCACAGTTTGGCCCTTGTCAAAGTCACTCTGATACTTACACTTGCCCATTTTTCCTGCTTCTAACACATAAACTTTGAGGATCAAATGTTCATTAGCTGCCTAATACACCACACACACTGACAGGTACCACTGTAACAAGATGATCAATATTATGTGCTTTACCTGTCAGTGGTCATAATGTTATGGCTGATCGGTGTAGTATACTCAAAGTATCAAAAGTTCCCATTATACAGAATAAGCCCACCCAGGGTGTTAGATTGTTGTACTGTATAATACGTATGTATTAAGTTTAAACAGGGTTTTAATGTACTTGGTCAAATTAGAAATAATTTTAACTACTGTATAATAATAAATAAAAATGTTCATATCTTTTGTAAGTAAAATTTTGATTTACAGAGGAACTAGCCGAAGGACAAATGTAGTGGAGTGAGGTATTATGTAGCATAAAAGAAAAATATTGAATTAGCATACCTTCAGTATGGTACATTCTAAAACTCAAGAGAATGCATGTGAACAACTGGTGTTTGTCTTTTTAAGATTTTGTATAGATGCCTATTTGCTTTATGGATTTATTATTACTTTAAATGTTAGATGCATTTGTGTATTAGAATGATATTGAGAAGTAGGTTTACAACACATATTTCCTAAATACCTCATCAAAAAGAGGGTATAATATAATATTAAAAACCAATAGACCATCTATCACCAGCATGTATTCTAATAGCACCAGTCACTGTGCTGCAAAATATGCAAAGCTGCTTGTCGTCTCTGCAGGATTACAGAGTGAACATCTTTCTGCGGCAGAAGTGGAATGACCCTCGGCTGGCATATAGTAAATACCCAGATTCTTCTCTCGACCTGGACCCGTCCATGTTGGACTCCATATGGAAACCTGACCTCTTTTTTGCCAATGAGAAAGGAGCCAATTTCCATGATGTCACCACAGACAACAAGCTGCTGAGGATCTTCAAGGATGGAACTGTCCTCTACAGTATCAGGTGAAATGGTAGACATGTTTTAAATGACAGAATAAAAATCAAGATAACAATTAAAGCCAGACATTTACACTAGAACTGAAACACTTATTTAACTATTCAATTATTCAGTGACCTGACTGTCAAAAACGTTTTAATTTTCTGTGTTGTTTATTATAGTTAACTCAAAATCTTTAGATTTTAGATTGCTCACAGGATAAAAACAGATATTTTAAGACATCGCCACAAGTTCTGGGAAATCGTAATGGGCATTTTTCATTGCTGACATTCTCTATACCATGTGATTAAACAAGAAAATTGGTGAATTACTCAGTAATAAAAATAATTGCCAGTTGCAGCCCAAGTTTGCACCATTTAACTTTGCAACACTGTAGCAAAGATGGTACCGAGTGAAAGATGATACTGCAGCGAAGCAAAACCTCTGGTGCGCAGATCACCCCAGGACATGTTCACATATTGCTTTACTTACATTTCTTCTCCAACATCAAAGACCGTCAATCTAAAACATGTTTAAAATGGATTTTTATCTCTCTTTTTTTAACCTCCTCTGAAATGGCACAATTCACTGAACTGCACTACATCCCCATGTGCAACATAGATTTTGAATTAGGAACACAGATTGCAAGCTAATCTCTGTGAAAATCCAAAATTAAGTTAAAAATTAAGTAAATAATGTGAATTCTTTAACACGTAGTTCAGAGGAAGACTCTGAAACATGCAACCCAGTCAGGATGAATGGCATTTTAAAGGCCTTTCCACCCAAATCTTGATCAAAAACTTACTACAAGATAGGAAAAATGTTTCATTTCATTTCAATACAAGTTCAATCCCACACAGCATTCAATTTTCTCTGCAGTGATTCGATATAAAGCAGATCAATTTTGAGTCCATTTAGTGAGTAGCTTGGGGCCAAGCGGTGCTCAGGTGTGGAGGTAGAGTGGGTCAATGAGAGATATGAAAGTTGGTTGGACACTCTCTGCATTCATGAGAGAAATGACAGAGGCAGCAGACCCTGGAACATAATGCATCAAAAAACAATAAGTTGCAATAATGAAAGTGTGATAGGAACCTGCTGAAAGGAGCCCTGCATGGTGTGCCACACAGGAGAAAGCGGCACGTGGTACAGAGAGCCAAACAGCTGTAATTTAATTTTTCAAGCAAATAATTTTCAATTCAAGTGTTGAGTCAGCAGTCCATGATTTAATGAGTATATGTATTTTAGAACAAAATCACAGTCATTGGTTTAGTCTGTTCACTATAGCTTCTTGTATGCCTTGGTCTCACATCATAGACTGACTCTCATTCTGTCCTGCCCGATGGATCTGAAGAACTTTCCGATGGATGTCCAGACTTGCACGATGCAACTGGAAAGTTGTAAGGATGAACTTTGCCTCTGTTTTGTCACTGCCCTTTCTGAAGTGAGGGTTTACTGAATATCTAAATGTTGATTGTTCTTTTGTTGCTCTAGTTGGTTACACCATGAATGACCTGATCTTTGAGTGGATGGAGACTGCTGCGGTGCAGGTGTCGGAGGGGCTTACCCTGCCTCAGTTCATCATGAGGGAAGAGAAGGAGCTGGGCTACTGTACCAAACACTACAACACTGGTCAGAGGACCCACAGATGCACAACAAGACTGTTTATATTTCATGCAGCTAACGTGTCTCCTGGTGTGGAGGATGAATAGTGTTCGTGTTCTTGTTGTCAAACAGGTAAATTCACCTGTATTGAAGTTAAATTCCATCTGGAGCGCCAGATGGGCTACTACCTGATCCAGATGTACATTCCTTCTCTCCTGATTGTCATCCTGTCATGGGTGTCCTTTTGGATCAATATGGATGCCGCTCCTGCCCGAGTGGCACTGGGCATCACCACTGTGCTTACCATGACCACCCAAAGCTCTGGCTCCAGAGCTTCTCTTCCAAAGGTAAACCTTTACATAAAAGCTTCTACTGGTAGAACATTGTAAGATGGATATAAATGTATGCATCACTCAACTGTAGGCATTATATATATACAGTATATATGTGTATATACATTTATAAATGTTGTTGGTTTAAAGTACCTAACAATTTATCTTGTTCACATATCTGTTATGTGAAAGATATATCTGTTATATATCAGCAAATAAAACATCTGGTTTTATTTATTAAAGGCACAACTTTTGAGCCTGCTTGTTACAGTTCACAGCGGCTGACATTTCTGTTTGTCATGCACATATTGTGAAGGGTACTACAGGCACCGAGAGGCAGATCTTGATGATCACTTACTCTCCATGCATCACTCTGCAGATGAGTGCATAAGGCCTCAGCCATGTCAGAGATTCTCACATAAAAGACACGCATACTGATAAACATTTAAAGAGAAGCTTTGAGAGCCTTGATAAAAAAAAAAAAAAAACAGACCTCAGCAAGTCTTAAGTGGCCTCAAAAAGCTGAGGTGTTTTCTTCACATGCTAATCAGCTGTCGTGAAGATTGGAGGTCATGCTGATTTCAGCTTTATCCTCATTTTCTCTAAAGAAACAGATCAAAAATGGTGCTAAAGGTGCTGTACAAAAAATTCTACGGTTCTCTTTCTGTTGGCAGTCAGGGCAGCAGTTTCTTCCCACTGTTTATGGCCATGAAATCACTGACATGCCTGGCAGCTGTGATACACTTGTTAGCAAACACCCTTTCTAATTACAGTCATTTAGAAGTTACAGTTAACTGTCATAATTAGAAAATAAGAAAACTCTAACCAAAGCTCTCCCACTAGCTCTAACAGAGTCAAAAGGACTCAAAAGGGGATAAATAAGTAAATAAATAAATAATCAGTTAATATTTCAAGTCATCTAATTCATCATTGCATTTGAGCTGTTAGCTGTTGTCACCTTAGTTGATCTAACAAAGAGAATCTGTTTTTTTCTCCCAGGTCTCTTATGTGAAAGCCATTGATATCTGGATGGCTGTGTGTCTGCTCTTCGTATTTGCTGCATTGCTAGAATATGCTGGGGTTAATTTTGTCTCCAGGCAACAGAAAGAGTTCCTTCGCCTGAGGCGAAGACAACGGAGGAGTCACAAGGTAGGCTTTCAAAGTCTTTCCAGCATTGCTGTCTGGTTACCAAACATTTTACCTGCAAGCGGTGTGCATCTAGGGATGGCAGTGTTGAACACTTTGACATACCCGTCTCAACAACTATTGGATCGATTGCCATCAAATGTACAGACATTCATTTACTGATGATTCTAATGATTTTGGTGTGATCCTCTGACTTGTTTTTTGCTTATTTAGTGAAATATCCCAACATCAGCCTGGTGATTTGGCACAAAATTTGGTACAGACATTCAAGTCTTCTAAATGAAGTACCCTAATGGATTTGGTGATCCCATGCAACCATGAAGTTGACTTTTGTGTTTTTCAGTAAAATGTTTCAATATGAATTGAAAGCTTCATTCTGTTCACATGTACATTTGGGTTGTTTTTTGTTTGTATTTTTTCCAGGATGATGATATGCGCGAAGGTCGCTTTAATTTTGTTGGCTACAATATGAGTCAGTGTCTGCCAACGAAGGATAGCTCAGCTATTAAAAACGCTGTTCCAGCGCCGAACCCTCAACCATCAGTCCCAAAAGACATAGACACAATGAAAAAGAAGTTTGTGGACAGAGCCAAGAGGATAGACACGATCTCAAGGGCTGCCTTTCCTCTGGCCTTCCTCATCTTCAACATCTTTTACTGGGTTACCTACAAGATCATCAGGCATGAGGACATCCACAGTAAATAAAGACTGTACCCTTGACAATGGACATTTAATTTTTCACTTCTCAGACTAAGAAATGACTGTGCATTGAGAGGCACCATGGGGATGATGGTGAAGTTTTTTTCAGGGATAATGTATGTATCTGTTCATAGATCATGCATCACACAGTAATATTCATGTTCTGATAATGTGAAGAGCCGCTGAGACACAGATGCTGGTTTGTTTTTGTACTGCTGCATAATATTTCCTGACAAATTTGGAAAAATGGTTTTAACCCAAGGCTTAGTAACACACTGGAGAAGATGAAGGCATTTGTTTGAATCAGCTCTGCCTGGCATCTGTGCAACCAAGTAACAAAGAAACATTCCATAGATTTGTAACTGCAAAGTAGCTTAGTCTTATGTCAAAGACTTTTCGTGACTGCAAAAAGAGGGATTTCTTATCAAGGATGTTTGGACTGTTTTATAGTTTACTACTGTCCTGGCATTTCCTCGTGTTTATAAGAAAATACAACAGAAAGCATCTAACATTTTCAGGCCAAGAGCAGATTCGTCTTTCAAACATTAGGCAACAGCACATGTCTCCGTCTGGAATTGGTTACTGCGTTTTTATGAAATACCTGAGGCCTTAGATATCAAAGAATTTGTGGGATAAAGTGCTACACTTCCCTCTTTGTTCAAGAATCTTCTCATGTTTAGTGGTCTCTCATAGCCAAATGCACTGTCTGAGCTGTCCATCTGTGGCCAGACATCCAAAGGCACTTGTCCTTCTTGCTTTCTTTAACTCTTGGTGTATTATAAACCACATTCGTGGACAACTGATGTCACCTGAAACCAATGTAAATTATTTTATTTGTTCTAGAAGTCATTAATTCTCCCTTTGATTCCAAACTAATTTGATTATATATATATATATATATTTAACACGCTAGATAATATATATATATTTCACAAGCTAGATAAAATATAATGGCCAATTTTGAGCAAGTGTATAGGTAAGGCTACAAACTGAACATGCACTGCATTACTCAGTGTTATCATAAACCCACATCCACATGAATTAATTTGTATTTGAGATAAATACTCCAGGTATCTTAGATATGGTTTTAGAGTTTAAGTCTATGTTTCTGTAGATTTAGTCTGATGAAATATTTATTGTAATTGAGGAATGGTATGTTTATTTATAAAAAGTGCTCTGTATACATCTTCAAGCTGTGGACTGTTTATTTCTTCACCTGGTGTGTTTCTTTCTGGATGGAGACATACAGTATGTTTATTGATGCAAGGGCAGATTTGCATCACACTCATGGTACATAGCAGCTAAGGGTCCTTGCACTCTTGGTATACTGTGGGGAAGAAGTCTTTTTATGAATGATATTCCAGAAAAATGTTATTTACATCAACAAAATTGACTGTGCCCCATGTTTACTTTACTTCCTCCTCTCCCTTTCCCCACCCATGCATTTCCTAAGGAGATTTCACTGTATTTCACTCTCTTACAACACAAAATGAAGAGATAGATGCCTTTCAAAAAAAAAACCTAACAAATCAAAGATGGCACGAACGCATAAAAAAGCTTTTTGCGCCCCAGTTGCAGATCAAATCAAAGAAAATGAGAGTCACTGCTCCTCACAAGGCCGTGAGTCTGGGTGATGACACATGCCATGGATCGTTGGGTGGCCTGGAGTGACACAGACATGAACTGACAGTTGGTTTCCATTAATGCATGCTAATAGACTTCACACTGTGGCGTAGGGATTCCATTAGTTGGGGCCTGCCTACCAGGTAACTGTATAATCTTTTAAACCAGATGGCTAACCACATAAACTCTCTACAAACGGATATCCTGTGTTGACATTATCATACCATTTCAATATCCTACCATTCATTATTATACTGTGGATAATGCCAGGGGCCATCAACTATTATATTTGTTTTAAAGATGAATACATGGCTTGTGGTAGGCCACATAAATCATCCAACTGCAGAACAGAGAGATTATAAACCAATGAATAATGCTAATCCTCACATGGAAATTTCACAGACATGATTATGAGAGGAAAATTATTTGTAGTTTATAACTGTGTTTAAGAGAGAAACAACTTTTCATCATTCATTAAGGTTTAGGAAGATTGACAGAGGCAAGAAATAAGGGCTGTTATAGCAACTGCACAGAAATTTATAGGGCTAATATGGGAGAAAAGCAGGAAATTACAACATCGGTGCATAATTTTGCCAAAAGGTTTCTCTTATGCTTGAATATAAATACCGCACTAGATCAAAAATGATTTCTCTTGTATTAAAAAAATAATGACACCAACAGCAATTCCTAGTATTCTATACTGAGAATACTCAAGAGGATTCTGCTTTCTGGACACTCTTTAAAACTATAAAATAGGCAGCGTGGGTGTGCAGAAGAGCCTGTTATGTGTGGGATATCTGTATTACAAACGCTCTGCCAAATGCGGTATAGTGAGCCACATGGTACTCCAGTCAGACAGAAATTGTTGGTTGGTGTGTGATCCTCTGCAGGCTGGCAGTATGGATCTCTACTCCTTTCCTATAGCTCTAGGTAGCCTTTTGAGTGTCTATGAATTCACACTGTTTGTTCCATGAGCTAATAAAATCTCAGAGGCCATAGATGGAAGGCTCAGGAAGGCCAACGGATGTGATGGAAGTGGACCTTGGCTTGAGAATTTATTGTTGAATTGAGCTCAACAGCCTATAGTATGTGCTATAAATCAGTAACCTGAAATATTAAAGTATCATTCATTGTGTGTGTACAATGAACCTCAATAAATATTAGTATTTACAGTCGTGTTGTGTGTTATCAGCTTGCAGGGTAGCTGAACTTGACTGTTCTGAATATAACAGCAAAGGCTAACTGAAATAAATAAATTAAAATATGAAGAAACTGTGTTACAGCTATGTTTAGGTGAGTCCTGTGTAATCTGTGCAGCAGAGGTATTAAAGGTGTAAAAGAGAGACTCAGACTGAATACTACAAATACACAAAGTAGCTCCAGGAAAAACCAAATGCATACCTTCGTTCATCCGCTCCCAATGAGACACATGCAAAAAATAAAAATAAAAATCATGAGCTATTTTAGTAAACCCTGGTTACACTACCACAGACCTTCTATATCTAGTAAAGACTAGGTCTTTTTTAAGTAGGATTCTATTTTTAATTGCATGAATGGCATTTTAACTAACAGCACACAGCCTGTGTAGTCTTAGGAGAAACAACATACAAGGACAGTTTTCTTCATATTATTTCACACACACACACACAAGCTGATCCATAAAGGGTCAGTGCCACTAAAACTACAGTGCTACAGTCAACTACAGCCCGTGATCACACATAACCAGTTGCTCTACCATCAGTTGTTCTTTATTTATAACACAAACAGTTTCTCGCCTCAGAATTAAAGTGGCCTCCTACTGAACTGCACACAGCAGCAGCAGCAACAGTTATAAAAGAGCATTTTTGAACAGAGAAACAGGGTCTAAAGGGACATGAACAGAAAAACAGGCTGAGCAAAGAGCAGCATCACATCCACTATCAGATTAAGGCTGTAAAACCCAGGAGGTGATCCAGTGGAAATAGGCTGAGGCTCTACACAGCAACAGACACTAGACAGATATAGTAAACCCCAAGAGGCTGTCTGAGAGATCAGACAGGCACAGGTCAGCTCAGAATCTAACCAAGCCAGAAGTGAAGGTAAGTGAAGTGTGAAGAGTACACATGATGAACAGTCTTGTTATTTATTACACGTTTGCCCCTATTGCTTGATGAGGAAACACTGACTTAAAGGGATTTTCAATAATAATGTCATCAGCTTATTAACTGAGCAAAGATCTCTGTATTTCTAAGATAGCTGCCAAATCCCCATCAAGCTGGACTTCTGACACACTTTGGGTGAGCCCACGATACCTGCCCACATCCACCACTGGGTTCAGCTTCACCCTGCTCCTCTCCACGTCCTGCTGCCAGAGCTCTCTGTACCTCTGGAGCCTGTCCACAGAACCCGACTCAGGGGTCTCATCAAGTCCAAGACACTCCCTCTTCTCATCTGCTTCTTTTTCACAAAGCAGCAATGACACACACTCTCTGAGTGACACCACCTCTTTCTCCATTGCCAAAGAAAATGTCTGAGCTTCACCCTGTCCTCTTGTACCTTTGATAAGCTGGATGGAGCAGGACACAGGGAGGTAAGCCAATAGTGAGTCCAGGAACTTGAGCATCCATAGCTGACTGCAGATGAATGACAGAGGCAAAATCAGCAAATTACATAATATGACTTGTAATACTTGCAACTGGTAATGAAAAGGTTGAATGTTGAAAAGCTGAAAGTTTCTTGATGTCTTTATATGATTTCTGTCATTTGTCAGCTGCCTCACACCCACCTGCCTGTTCAGCGTTTGTATGCAGGATTTATAATTTTAAGTGCTCTGCCTGCCAGAGAATCCTAATCATTTCAGTGGAGTATCACGATGACATGCATCCCACTAGTCAACCTCAAAGACTCGTCATCTTTGAATCCATTAATATAAACTGAGCAATGCCCACATACACTTGCAGATTTGTCTTTCTTAGTTCTGTTAAATGAAACTGAATAACTCAGGAGAGTTGCTGGTAGATGTAGCTGAACCAATGCATTGCCAATGAACATCTCTATTAGAGAACTTCTTGTTTTTTTATGATTTAACATATGTACAGTATTAAAACATGCAAACCAAAAGAAGGTTCTTGACATAAAACATGAAAATGGCATTCAAATAGTAAAATATAAAGGTCAAAACAACACTAATAAAAAGGTCCTTGTTTTATTTGCACAGCCATACCTTTGGTGCAATACACACTTCTTTCAGTGGTTTTATACAGGTGGCTGTAAACCAATAAACCTAGCAATGTGCTAGTAAAGGCAGGGAAGGAAAAAACTACTACTGTAGCAAATACTGTATAAATGTAAACAATGCAAGGTTCCAAATCAACTCTGCAAATGCTATGTAAGAAACTGATTCCGCTTTTTTTGTTAGACCTCAAGGATACACAATGCTTTTTGTTAAGTACCTGTAAATGAAAACTAAAACTTTTGTTTGTTTTCAGGAAAACTCCACAGGGCACCTTTCACTTTGAGATAAAAACACACCCTGTGACTTTATAAACTGATAACATGATTATAGCCAAAACGAAATACCACCTAAACCTTCAACTCTTAAGGTCAGCAACACGGTTATCTTATCTGTATCTGTAAAATAAAATGACTTACCTGGAGTGGATAGACAGTTCTCCTTGGAAGGGGGTTAGCTGATGCCAGTGCAGCAGCATGAGAGCAGATGGTACTGAAGAATTTAACAGGAAGTACTGAGGGCTCACTTCTATCTTCTTACAACCCACTCTTTTCTGAATCCAGCCATCTATATCACCTAAGCTGTGATCAGGAGAGTCTATGTGGAAGACCCAGCGATCCAGCACTGCCAACAAACTCAGCAAGTCCTCTTTAACCTCATCTGGGCACAAAAACAAGACAATAAACATCAGCATGTGTCAAATTAAAATCCCAAGATGTAAGCATTTGAGATGTTTACCTGTTTTGAGTTCGGGGGTTTTCAACAACTGGGTTTGGAAATCGCTCTGGATATCTATGGTAACTTCACCACAGTGCAGAACTACCGGTGTTGGGTTGCTCATGAGGGAAAAAGCATCTTTTTTCTGGATGTAATGGAGCATGACACAGCACTTGACAAAGCCAGAGTTCAACAGAGGTGTCAGCCTGGTCACAGCAGTCACAACCAGTCTGCATGTGTTGAGATCTTTGGCTATGCCGGCGTTGTGCTGCTTGCTTCTTTTGGCTGGGGGCTCTGAGAACATGAAGGCAGAGGAGGAGAAGGAAGATGATGATGATGAAGGGCAGTGTGTGGGGAGCCAGAACACTTGGCTTTGGGTCTGGATGACTGCGGGCGTTGAGCTCTGGCCCGTCTCTGTCAGGATGGATAAGCTCACACTGGCCACTGGTCTGGAGCAAAAATAACACATCACTAACAATCAGGTATCACATGGTCAGCGAGTAATCAGACACAAAACTACAGACTGTGTATGTGTGTGAAGGAATGTGTTGCAAGCTTATTAACAACACTGATATCTCCAGGTGCTGAAATGATATCAGCTGTACAAGTGCATCAATCAAATCAGGAATATATAGGCTCTTGAGGCAGCTATGCCAGAGGTAGTCTTCCTCCACATGTTCTCAAAGAAAAAAAAAAATCAGGAACAGGTGGATGGACAACTCTAATAGCTTCTTGTTCCCTCACAAAGAACCTGGAGGGTTATTAAAAACCTGTTACCATGGTGACCACCTAGCCGCCCTGCACCTGCCGTCTGAAATTCATATGAAGTAAAGGGAAATCAAAGTGGCATCCTTACTCTCTTGGTGCTATCTGTTGACAAAGATTAGGCGTTTCTTTACATGACTACCTGATAAGTGCTCATTTTTATTATTATACAAGAAGCAATAATATGATTATGTCTTACGGTTTAGTGTGTTTCAAGTAAGAGAGAGTGACGAAATGAAAGCACTGCATATCACGTTGCCTCCTGCCATATAAATACTGCCTGTATCTTAAACATAAGGATAATAATCCTTAATAATACACACATGGATAATAATACACACATGGATTCACTCAACCAGATGAACTCGTTATGGCGGCAAGGCATCAAACGGATGAGTTATTTTAAGGAGAATCATCACTAAGTGCTTTGATAATGTCTTGTTCAATGGACCATATTTAGGACAGCAAACGCCTTGGTCCATAAAGCTTGCACATTCTTCACACAGGAAAATATACACGGTTCACTTCAATTGAATAACAAATCACATTTACACAGAGCTCTCAGCAGTTAGTATCACTCCCACAACCATTCGATCCTCAGTGACACGATGCCACAGCTTGTCAACTTGAGGTTTTGAAGATGCGGCAGGCATGTTTTGCATCTTGTCATCATTCTTTGACTCATCATCATCATCATCATCATCATCATCATCGTCGTCGTCCCACAGAGTAATAAGGTCTTCCTAGACAGAAAGTGCAAAGACTATAATCAGTAATGACAAATATGTGACAGTAATAACAGTTTATGTCAGACTTTGAATGTGACCAATCCATCAGGAACACATGTAGTGGACTTTCTTAAATTGTATTTAGAAGAAGAAGTGTTGTGGTTTTGTCAATTTACAATTACTTTTAATATTTCACATTTGATTTTCAAAAAGATTTGTTTTGGGCCATATACACTGGGTGTTTGTTGTGTAAATATGGCCACCGGTTTTCAAGCTAAGGCTCATGTTTTAGGTTTATAAACTCCAATTAATATATTACAGAAGTTCCCATATTCAAGTTGTAAGTAAATTTAAATGCATGCCAGTGTTAGAGATATTTCATTATCATGAAAATGTCACTGACAAATATTGTGATCTGGTTGGGAAAGATTAAGAGAATGCTGATCCTCCAAAAAAACAAAAAGCATAGCTAATACTGTAACGCAACATGCACTGTTTTGCAGAAAGTCATGGTTGCATATTTTCTTACATGGACAGTACCTGCTCAGGAGGTGTGAGAATGGGTTGTCTTTCTGAAACCACATCAATAAGGGCTTGAACTGACTGCTGTAGAACTCTTTCCTTCACTCTCACTTCTCTTTGAAGCTCCTGAAGCACAGTCAATCCACTCTAAATGACAGATCATACAATATTAAAAAAATCAAGCACAGTTGTTGAGCGCCTTAAAATAGGTTCAGTGCAAAAGGTTGTCATCTCATACAAATACCCTAATTAGGCCAGATGATCATGGAGAGTAATAATGCTCAGTTTTCTTACAATGATAAACACCTCTATATGGCAAATAAAAGTAGAAATACATGTGAAATTGATGTGTGAGAAAACAAACAGAGTATCACTGTTAATTTGTACATTATATCAGACAACTCTTCACTCATATAAATCAATACATTAATTTTGTTAATACTGGCTTTTAAATCATTTACATAGTTTTGTAAGACTTGATCATGATCAGGTTACCCTGAAAGACAAATATACTTACAGTGAATTATTGCCAAGTCAAAAAAACAAAACAAAACAAAAAAACTGTGCTGCTCACCTGTAGTCGGGACTCTAAAGCTTGAAGAGTCATATGATAGTTGTCTGGTAAAGGAGAGTTCTTCGGTGCTCCACTGTCCTGGCCACGCTAAAAGTTTTATTTTCCATTAGTCCTCTTTCACATTTTATCAAGAGGAATATGTGTAATTGTGAGGTAGCCCATGGGATGGAGGATGACAACTCACAGAGTATGAAATGCCACAAAGGTCAGTGAGGATGAAATTATCTAGTAGTGGTCCTGTTGCACCTTGATCCTTGAAAACCAAGAGCATCTGGTCTGTTCCACATCCCAGGAAGTCATCTACATGGACGGAGCTGATATCTGACCAGTGGGATGCTATCTAGAGAAGAGTTTAACAAGGTAGAGCAGGCTTTTAAAATTGTGAAAACTGGATGAAGGAAAGCCAAAAACAATAGTCCGCAGACAGTTTAGGATACCTGAAATGTTTCCTTCCATACAGCGCAAACATGGCCCTGGTGAAAGGATATGACAAACAGGGAGCCATTCCTTCCAGTGTTGACCATCTGAATATCTTCCGGTTGCTCGAAGGGGAGCTGACATATGTCTTTTACAGTGCCATTCTCAAAATAAACTAGCTGCTGATTAGAAGTTACTGCTACCACAGCAGATTTCAGTGCTTCATCAGCTTTGTCAGCTGAGATCACCAAGATACACTGTGTGATGCAAATGTAAGGTTGTGGTAAAATCATAGTGCCATCAAACACTTGTCCATTCTCAACAAAACAGCCCAGGGTTCGGCTTGTCGACTGGCTGTCTGAGCACTGTTCTGACAATTTTTGCAGTCCAAGCACAAATACCTGTTTTTTGTCGAGAGGAAGCTCTCCAGTAACACAGTGGGACAGCTGAATGGGTATCTTTCTCACCTCTCCTGCCTTCAGAGATGTATAGAAGGCATTACCAGCATGACTCCACAACACTGTGGGGCCCTGGAGGATAGACACCATCTCCCTCATTTGGTAAGGGATTTTAAACTCAATGCAGGGCTCCAGTCGGTTTGAGCTGTTCAGTCTGAGAAGACTGTAGTGGAAGCTCTGTCCTTTCTTGCTCTTCTTTGCTACTAAAGCATAGGGTGTGGTGACTCTCCTCTGAACATCTATGGCACATTTACATTTTACAATATG